TGGCTTTCTTGAAATCGTGAGTGAGGAAGAAGATAGTTTTATTATATTTCGTTATTATGATTAATGAAAATAATAATAATAATAATAATAATAATAATTATAATTATAATTAATAATAATAATGATTAATATTATTAGTGTCATTAATAAAAGAAAAAAAGAAGCAAATGTCGCGATCGCCAAATCAAAGGAGTCGAAGACTAATTCCAGGGTTGATCCTTCGCCTGAAGTGCTCGATCGTCGATTATGATCCAATTGAGCGGACCTAAAAGGGTGAGTGCCTTCCCCAACCTCCTCTCGCAGAGAGGGGGAGCCAAAAGGGTGTCGAAATTTCGGGGAAAATGCTAAATTTTAAAATTCTTCTAACAGGTACCACAACAACTAAATTATAGGACTCGAAGATCAATTCCGGGGTTGATTCGTCCCCCAAAGCCTTTGGTCATGGAATTCTATCCGGCTAGGTGGACTAGAAAAGGCAAGTGCCCTCCGAACTCCTCTCTAGTGAGGGAACCCCATGAGGCTACAGAAATTATGTCGCGAGGCTGCCAAACTTGCAATCTGAGAGCTTCAATTAAAATTTTAATTGATTAATAACTAATTAATCTATTTAAATTCAATTTTAAAATTTCAATTTGATAATAAATTAAATTTAAAATTTAAAATTTAATTTAATTATTCTGAGTAATTAATTTACCTAAAAACTCTATAATTAAAATTTAATTGATTAATTAATTAAAATCTAAATGAGTGATTAAATTAAAGAATTAAAATTTGATAACTAATTAATTAAAATAAACTTGAGATTTTACTTAATTGACTATCTAAATTAACAACAATTTTAAAATATAATTGAATAATTAATTTAAAATTTTATTTTATTTAATAAAATCAATATCTTTAATTAATTTAAAATTTCGTTAAATTAATTAATTTAAAAATTAATAGCAAAACTAAAATATGTTAATTAATATTAAATTAATTAACCTTTTAATTAAATTAATTAGACCAATATAACAACTAATTTAATTAATAATTAAATTAAAACATTCAAGTAATTTAATATTTATTAATGAGTCGAGTGTTTAATTTTAAATTAAAATTTAAACTTTAAATCAACTAGTTAAAAAAAAATTTTAAATGTAAGTAGAAATGTAATGAGAGGAGAGCCTCTATGATGAAATGCATTTTGATTAAAATAAAATAAAAAAATACCAAAAATAATGTTTCCACTCATCAAACTTAAGTTCAAAGCACACCAACTAAGGTCCAAACTCCTAAAACTAAAAAACTAAAGAAAATAAAAAATGCAGAGAAAACTACAAAAACTCCTAGCAATCCTTAACGCAGCTCCAGCTCCTTGCAAGCTCCAGCTCCTACAACTGCTAGATGAACACTTGCAAACAAATAAAAAAAGTCAGTGCATGGTGGTAAACAAAACTAGTATTGTAAGCAAACAACTAGTACGATAGGTAAAAAAAACAAGCAAAGAAAATAGTGATGAAAGTAAAAAAAAAAAAACTATTGAAAGTAAAACTACTACTACATGCAAGATTGGTGTTGAAACAAACAAGTAAGTAAAGCTACTACTGTGAGCCATAAGCTATTACTGTAAACAAAACACTAATACGGGTGTCGAGGTGGTGAAAAGCACAGAACTTAGTATCTACTGCTAAAGGCCCACTAAACTAAATCCCCCATAACCCAAATTCAATTAGCAACCTCTAATAGAGGCCGTAAGTCCTACTTTAATTAGGGTGTTAGGGAAAATTTTCCAAGAGCGGATAATACATCCCTGATAACTTAGGCTACTTCATAGCGAAGCAGTAAGACCCGCCTTTAAGCAGGCTATTTAGAGAAATTATCAAGTGAATTGTCAAACTCTAAAAGGCTAAATTATACGGGTCACTTTGTTTATAGGGCTAGGTTGTAAGACTCACCTTTAGGCTACTTCTAAATATTGAATCTGTAAGACCTACCAAAATAGCCGGGCTACTTTCAAGCTAAGTAGTAAGACCCGCATGCTAGGGAAATTTCTAAGTGAGCAACCCTAAACCCAAACATATAGACTACTTCTAATAGAAGTCGTAAGACTTGCTATACTGACTACTTTCAATGAAAGAGGTAAGACCCCCTTTTCAAACTTAAACCTAGCCACTTCTAAGCGAAGCCGTAAGACCCGCTATACAAGCTATTTTCAAAGGAAGCTGTAAGACCCGTTATACGAGCTACTTTCAATGAAAACGATAAGCCTCAACCCAAATACAAACTACGGGTGACTCAAACTTTTAGTTAGGTTAAGGTCAAGTCATTTATTGACGGCTCTCTAATCACATATGAGTCATCGAGCTCATGAAATAAATCCAGAATCTCTTACTAACTCGAGACTTTGGAGCAAAATAATAAGGTAGATTTCTTAGCTAAATTAGCCAAAAAATAACAAGTGTGAATGATGAGCCTGTGTTGGTTTGAGTTCACAGTCGTTGAGTGCTAGAGTAAGCTATTTGGAAATCCTTGTTGGTCAATAGAGCTCAACTTTTGGCTTGGGTGTTTGGACTAAGAGCAAGGCTCTATGGTATGAATGCTCAGGCAAATTTTAATTACGTTAATAAATATTTATTAAAATAAATATGAAAAAAATAAACACGCCAGAGTTGCTAGCAAAGCTATCGACTGATTTTTGATGTGCTATCTACCTGGAGACAGAATAATAGATAGGGCGATTAGTGAAATGAAAGGAAAAAAAAAAAAGCCAACTGCTTCCGATGTTAGTGACTGGCTTTTGTATATTAATTTATATATAAACTTTTTATATTTGTGCTATATAACAAAAGAAAAAAATGCTAGTCGCTGACAACAACTATGACTAGCTTTTGAATATAATATATATATATATATATAAAGTTTATAAAGTTATGAATAATTATATTTATTAAAATAATAGATAGATAATTGTTGGCAGATATATCGGGGGTCCAAGGGGGTAGTGCCCCCTAGCGGGATTCGACCTGCCCGGTCAGGTCGCATGGTCAAGGGGCAGCGCCTAAAGACCATAATATTTTATATGGTTCATCATTCCCTGACAATATCACCTCTACATAACGTGTTTAATTATACAGGGGGCAATTGCCTAAAGACCATAATATTTTAAAACTTTTAGGGGATACAATTGCCTTAAAACCCTTATAATAAAGACTAAAACATAGATTTAGGGACAAATTATTTAAAGAATCATATAATAAATAAATAAATAAAATTTTTGAGGGGGGCAATTGCCCCCCCGGACATAAGGGGCTTCCGCCCCTGCTAGCAAAGCTAGCGACTATGGCTTGTTTTAAAATTTTCTTCAGATTTATTTCAATAATATAATTTTTTAACATACTTATAAAATTTAACCCTGAATGTCCATAGACAACTTAAATTGATAGACCCCGATGGGTCAAAGGAGAGGTCGACAAATCTCTCCTAATTTCTCTCTCCTTTCTCTATCTTTTTTGTTAACTCTCTCTATCTCCCCTCTCTCTCTATCTATCCATCTATCTTCTCTCCTATCATTGTCCTCACCCCTTGACTTTATTTATTTATCATAATCTTTTCCTCTCTCTCTCTCTCTCTCTCTCTCTCTCTCACTCTCTCTCTCTCTCTCTAAATATTTTTCTCTGTATTTGCCTCTATCCTGTTATCCTTTATGTCTCCACATGCTGATCATTTAGCATATCTGAATTCCATAGTTTTCTGTCCACCTTCTCAAAATTGCTTTGTGGCCTCCATTTCCCATGCTGCATCAGAAATCTTAAAATCTCATTTATGAGCGTTAAGACTTGCTGCACAAATTCTTCACGTGCAATTAAGGGCGACGATATAAGGCACATAAGTTGGTGTGACTTCAATCGAAATTCAAATCTGAAAGTCTTGTATGCTTGAACCTCGTTACTAAGGCCAATGATTCACACATTGCCTTCTCACTGCAAAAAAAATGGTGTGTTGGAATCAGAATATATGGTAAACTCTATGTAAGCATAGCTTACGTTGCAACATATTGTACTTTACATCAATTGATTAATCAATAATTAGTTACCATTTTGTAGGCATGCTCCAACCTAGGAATGCTAACTCAAGGCTCGTACAACTATTAACATCCTTACATTTTCAAAAAGCTAAATATCACCGGCACAACTCTAGTTTTACCTGCCTTGGAAGTTGCAGACTGAAGCTGTGCGTTATCTACTAAAGGATGTTGAAGCCACCACCTTTCTACAGCTTCCATTCTTATGTAAACCTGCTGAAGTTAAAACATTTGCATGTATGTATTTTTTTTCCCAATTTAGTTAAGTTGATATGTGACAAGAAATACTTGAGTTTGCAAGTAACCTTAAGCAAACCTATCACCGATTGGTGAAAAACAGCAAGAATAATGCGAAATATGGGTGAAAACAGCCCAAAGCGATATATTGTGGTAGGAAAATCAAAGTCAAACAATAATGAAAACAAGGTACAAGAGATCCTCAATTCGAGAGGAGGATCGTCTCTCCCAAATATCTAGACAAGAGAGTCTAGAGCCCAAATCGCCAAAGAACCCTAATTGAGAACCAATCAAAACATAATCCCTCCCTAAACATCTCATGCTCTGTAATAAAAAAACTTTCTTAATCTAATTTCCCTCCCAACCCCTAGCCGCCCCCTCCTTTTCAATTTGAATTCCCTTGGACTAGTGGGGCCCTCAATGTGGGCAGGCAAGATCAATGGAGGAAGACAAGTTCTGCCTCCTGTAGTGGGCCGGCTGGGCTGGTTCACCCTGTGAACCGGCCTAAATGGTATATATATTGGCAACTGGAGTCGTCTCCTTTCGGTTTCTTCTAACTGATAGTGCAATGTCTTTTAGAAAATTGGGTGATTCATTACCCTAAATGGGTGGTATTTCAGTGTGGCCAATGATATATTTTCAAATGTTCAGCTTTGTCAAGTAACTTCATCTTCTGCTTAATGACATGATCTTGAATAAGGTGGTGTACTCGCAGGTTCTGGGGTCCGTCTTAGGAGAACATTTTGTTCCAAATGATACGTGCCTTTGTGCAGATGGTGAATATTGCCAGGTAGTCACCGGACCAAATATGGGTGGAAAGAGTTGCTACATACGCCAGGTTGCCCTTATAGCAATAATGGCTCAGGCATGTTCCATCCTTTCATACTTATCAATCAGGAATAATGACGGTTTTTTATTTTTCTGTTAAATAAAATTCTTATAGAAAAATTTACTTGGCCCTATTGTCAAAACTGCTTCATGGAAATTATTCGCTTTTATCTTATATTATAACAGTTGTGTCATTCAGTTGTTTGTTTACTCAGATCTTTTATTCTTTATGGGAAACTGTTGTTTATCATTTATAGTATAATTCAACCAAGTCTTATTTTGTCCCATGTCTCTGGCATGTTCCTGTAGTTATAATTTTGGAATTCATATGGTTCTTGATTTTTCTTCTTAAACACAAGTCCTATATATGAGATTAACGGGTCTCAATGGTCTGGTTCTGTATCTTAACATAGAAGTACCATAATTCAACTCAATACTCTTGGCTTTTATAGTTTTATCTTGATCATATCAGTTGTGTCATGCTATTGATTAGCCTTATGGTGCAACTAAAAAAACACTACACTAAAATTGCAAACTAGAAGACAACTTTTCTTCCTTAAAACATAGACAAACATAAACAAGATAACAATACTATTAAAATCAAGACACACTACAACTTATAAAATTTTGAGAAGAAAGATACAAGTAGAATGGAAACCGTGGAGAGAAGTAGGTAGAAGTTCGAGACAAATTTTTTAGAAGATAGGGAGGTAGAAGACAATAGCTCGCAAGCTATATAAACCCTTAGGTTTTTGTTTCAAACATTCTTCTCAATTCCCTCTCTTTTTTCCAGCAGCCAAACAACCTTTTTTATAGGAGAAAAAAATCTAACAGCCCACATAAATGTGCCACCAAAAACAGCCCATAGAAGCCTCACAATTTAGCCCCCTTAATGAGGAGTTAATGCACTTAGTATAGGAAAATATTAGGGTGAAAGATAAACAGCCAACAGCAGGAAAAGGGGGACAACACCATGGGAAAAACAATCAGCATAGGGAAATAAATCTGCATGGAGAACATCAACATCCATCCGAAATCTGCATGGAGAACATTAACAACATGCAAAATGGGAATCCAAATATTGCAACCAGCCATCATGGGAAGATATGGGCCAAGCCCATTAAGGAAAAAACAACCCAAAGATTAATTACCCCTATTGCCTACAAGGAAGCAAGGAAACATAAAGTAAAAAAAAAATCTAGCTTTGCCTACATCAATTCTGTCCTGGTGGAGAAATCTCATCCCCTAATGAGATTGCCTCAGAACATCCAAGATGTTCCAATTGTGCATTTTTCGTTTCCTGAATTAAAGTGTTGTACCTCCTTTGAATCTTCTCTTTTTCTTGTTCAAACTCGAATTGAAGTAGACGCTTCATATTTTCATATCTCTTTGTACCTAAATACATTTGTCATCGTATTTTAAGAAGTTCACTCAGGAGTGGATTAGTAGAACATGCTTGAGGTGGTATCCATTTTGTTGTCGGAATTTTATCCTTGGGAATCCAAGAAATAGTTGGCTGAGTTTAAAAAGCTGCACGATCAAGTTCATCTTGAATAGGAACTTCAACTTGTAGATGGGAAATTTGCTTTAGGATCCTTTATGGGTGAAAATCTCATGCTCTAATGAAGAAAGGATTAAATTGTTGTAGCTAAATCTTACATGATTATAAGGAATGGTTTATTTCGCTTGTGAATATTTAGTAAAAGATTTCGAACAATTATTCCCTGCAACACAATCTATAATTCTTTATTGTGATAACCAAACAATTTTACTTTGCAAGCAATCTTATCTTTCATCAAAGAATTAAACATATTAAAACATTTTGTCATTTCATCAGAGTTGTAGTTTTATCAAAAAATATCACTCTTCATATTCTCCCTGAAGAATAATTTATTGGTATTTTTATCAAAACTCTAAGATCTCTTTTTTTTTTTTCAGTTTTTTGACCATGTAAAAACTCTCAACTTCAGGGGTAGTACTGTTATTGCAGGAAAGTAGCTAAATTGGAATTTTGTTCTCCTTAACATCTTCATTTCTTATACTTCCAATTTGCCTATATTAAGGCACCCACTCTAACAATGCTAACTATCCTGATCTGATACATTTATGAACTTTTAGATTTTCCTTGCAATTGCTTTATCATATCTTTGTCTGATCCCATTAGGTTGGTTCCTTTGTACCAGCGTCATCAGCAACTTTGCATGTGCTGGACGGGATATACACTCGCATGGGAGCTTCTGATAGCATCCAGCATGGATCAAGTACCTTCTTTGAAGAATTGGCTGAGACTTCTTATATTCTAGAACATTCCACATCACGCTCTCTGGTCATTATCGATGAACTCGGCCGTGGAACAAGCACCCATGATGGTGTTGCGATTGCTCATGCAACATTGCATTATCTTCTTCAACAGAAGAAATGTATGATTCTTTTTGTCACCCACTACCCCCAAATTCTGGATATACAGAGTGAATTTGAAGGATCAGTTGGTGCATATCGCGTTTCTTATCTAACCGCACAGAAACCTTTGAACTTGATGGAATCTAAACCAGAATTTGATAATGGAGAAGTGGACGAACAAGAAGTGACCTTTCTATATAAGGTTGTTCATGGTGCATCAGACAAGAGCTTTGGTCTTAATGTTGCTCGCCTCGCACAGGTTAGTTTAATTGCATGCACTAAGCCCTTCTCCAACCGAACTTCAAACATGAATGGCGTCGCTCGCGAGCTCTAGCCGAACGGCAAAACTTTCGGTATTTGGTTGTGGGTGAACAATGCGACGCCAATATTGGCGTTGCATTGTTCATCTGCGTTATTTTTCTATATCTACCGGATTGGCCGAAAAAAAATGCGCGAAAGAGAGACGGTTATCTTCTATGAAGGGCGCAAAATGGAGTTCAATTGGAGATGATTCATGCCATTTTTTAGTTTCACTGTATTTTGGAGTGAAAAATGAGATTTTCGGTTGGAGATGCCCTAATCAATCACCTACTAATCTTATAATTTTTTTAAAGTCATTTTCTGGTTGTTTTATTAAATAGTTTGCAATGTTTATTGCATTTTATGTGAATTGTTTCCTTGCAGCTGCCCGATTTGTGCATTAGAAGAGCAGCTTTCATCGCGGCAAAACTAGAAGCAGACATGGGTTCACAGCTAAGAAATCTAGCAACAATGTCTGGTAATAAAACCATAGAGAAATATGAAGCTTCTGACAATTGTTCCATTTCACCTAAATATGCGTATAAAGATGATGAGCCCTTTGAAGAACTGGCAAAAGCATGCCACAGTATATTTTTCTGTGTAAAATCAGCCCTACAAAGTGCTGACACAGATAGAATTTTAAGCTGTTGGAAGGGCGCTCGAGAACTTGCACAGATAGCGACAAAGGGAGGGTGAACCGTCTCTTTCCCAAAGGAGAAATTATTCTGAACGGACTCTGAACGTAGAGGATTGTCCGGATGCTGTGTCTGAACTGCGTATTTGTAGATTTGCAGCAAATGCTAAGCCAATCATTAGTTGTGAGTACTTACTGAGTATTTAGTGAGTATTTGCTGTATATCTACAAATATGCAGTTCATACGCAGCATCTGGACGAACCTCTATGTTCGGAGTCCGCACAAAATAATTTTCCTTCCCAAAGAACTTTTGTCAGCCTTGCTTGTTTTATCGCCCTTGATCATGGATAGTAGTATTACCACAGACTTTTTCAAGTGGAATCACAGAGAACAAAAAGCTTTTGCCACATGCAAACCAAAGGTCTAAATATGGGAGTATTTAGAAGCTCTTAACCACCATCGACTGTGTTTCTGATTGAGCTGCAAAATGTTTCCGTGCGGCTCCTTTTACATAACATTATCTTCTACTGATCGGTTTGGGGAACTTATCTGTTTTTGTGTATGATAACAAAATATTTATATGGAAAAGCCAATGTATAACCAGGGCAGGTAATTTGTTTATTTAATGAAGGTTTTATAGTTATTTAGAAATACAGGGCCAAGCAAAAACTTTGTTTGCAGGTTACCTTGCATGAAATAGATGGGTAATGGCTCAGGCTTTGTTTGAGATAATTTTTGCTCATATATTTTTTAACTGTTTTCAATAGTTTTTTTTTTACTAAAAATTTGCTATAAAAATAATAATAAAAAAAATATTTCAAATGAAGACGCAATCATGGTGGAATATTCATAGGCCTCAAATATATATATTATTCAATGAATAAGAGAACAGAGAGTGAGAGTGGGAGCAAGAGAGCGATTTTTTCTTAAAGTTTATCATTTTTTATTACTTGAGTATGGGATTCCAGACATATTTGTCTGCTTGATATTTGGCCAATTGTCCAAACTTTATTCTTGCATCACCTCTTACATAATTATTATTTTTCCATAAATATTTCTTCTTATATTTTATATCATCATTACATTGTTTTTACTCTGTAATATATATATATATATCACACATAACAATATCCTAGTTGCTCAATGATCCCCTAAATTCTAGTATTTTAAGTTTTTAGCTTATGGATGAAAAGTTATTAAGGCTGGAGCAGCTCAAGTGGAAAATAAAATTAGAGAGTCGTCATAGATGATTTGGTCGCATAAAATGGGTACATCTTAATGTCTATATCATATTTGGCTTAAGTAAGAAAGTTAGAGGCAAATCTAAAAAAATCGATTATAAAATATTAAAAATAATTTTTTTGTTAGATTTGTTATGTTCTGGAATATTTGCAGCATAAGTCTAACGATGATTGATGATTGGGTGGAGAGCTGAATGAGATAATTGGAGGGTGTGTTCTAAATAATAGTCAAGCAAGAAGTCGATGATGGTTGATATGAAGTAAAGGACTGACATCAAACTTCAGAAAAAGGGTTGGTGATGTGAAATCAGGAATTGTTTTCTTATAAATTAAAAAAAGTTGTTAGAGCAATGATAAAATAATTTAATGCTTCTCAAATTTGACAAATCAAGAAAGGTCTTAGAAGTTAACAGTGCGTAGGCAAGTCGTTACAACTAAATTTTGCAAGTTCCTTAAAATAACAACTTCAATGAACGTAATTAAATGATTAGCCAACTAGAATCTGACGGTTAACAAAGTAATCGTCTCACCTTGAGGCACAAAAGTCACTCTTCTACTTCTAGGATTGTCGGAGGAATCATACGAGAAACGAGATCACACCAAGGTAGACGACGCAGACGATCCATAGCGATGGTGAGGGAAGTGGCGGCGGTGAAGGTGGAGGAGCGGGTGGATATCCGTTGATGGTCCAGTCGTAGTCTGAAAATTGACCGTCGATGACGAGCACAAGGGTGGGGAGAATTCGATCCAAGTAACCTTCAATGGTGCCATTGTGGTCAAACCCCGCGTCAAAGAATGTGGATCGAAGTATATGAATGTCTCCGTAGACGTCGAACACAAGTCCGCCTTCAAGTTCAGGATCCGCCATGCATCGTGAGATTGAATAGGGAAGAAGAAATAGGGAGGTGGGAGGGCTTTCCGTGAGCTAGGGAGAGGGAGGGAGGTCACAGGTTGGGGGGAAGAGAGGGGCGGGTGAGGCTAAAATTAGAGGGAATTTAAATTTGAATTTCAAATATGTGTAACTCATCTTAATTAACTTCCCATATTTAATATGGCTTAATTAGGAAAGTCATTAAGAGAGGAGAATTCAAAATTCAAAGGGGAGAGCTAGAGGTGGCTGGCGGCAAGGGGGTCCAGTGGGTGGTCGGCGGGCTGCTGGCCGGCGGGTGGGGTTTGCAGGCCGGCGGCCTGGGCGGTTCAAGGGGAGGCGCCGGCAAGGGGCAAGGGGAAGGGAGGAGGGGAATTTTCTAGGGATTCGTTTGGCTACAAATCCACTCACCTCAATTATCTTTAATCCGGATCTCCACGAAAATAGCTTGGCGAAAATCTAGAACTCACAAAGAGATCTATCTTCTCCGACGAACTCACTAAGAGATTTAGGAGGGTTGAACTCACAAAGAGAATATAAGATGCAAATTTTCATTCATCAAAAACTAAACTCAAATACAATGACTACGCCTATATATAGGCCATCCGAAAATAAAAAGCATAAAGACGACATTGCCCTTAGGCTACAACAAACACTAACTCCCTCATAGGGGTACAAATGGAAAAACATTAAATATAAATGACATGAATAAAATAAAACATCAAAAATAAAGACTCTGAATCATGTATGTCGCTCGACGACCCCTTCGATGGTAAGTGTGCCGAAATCTCCTATGGATGTCCTCATCTGTTGGTGATGGTGGTGGTCAAGTTGTATTTTGTTAAAGTTAATATGCATCCATATTGATGTGTGCGGATATCAGATATCCCTGATGAAAGGGTTCAAAGCAGTGTGCCTTATCAGTAGCCTAACGACACATTAATAGTGTCAATTATGTGGAGGCTTGATGATGATCACTTTTAATTTTTCTTTGAAGAAGAAGTTGTATGAGATGCTTGTACGGATGATGGTGGTGTAATTTTAATTTCTCTTCTTTATGAAAACGAGTGTATACTCGAACCTAATGTGAAATCTATGTAACTCCAATGATATTGTATATAAAGTTGAGATACGCTCGATGCTTGTTTTTCATTTGAAATGAACTTATCCCCCAGAGGAAACTAAATTTTTTATGCATCATTGAGACATATTTTGATATATTGCCCCCTGTGCTTTTTTAGGCTTTTTTAGTCTATATGATTGGTGACTTTATCAACCACTTGCTTTCATGGAATCTTTCTAGAGAGAATGTTGTCCACTTAGAGTATTGCTCAATGATGTTAATAGATTGATAGAAATCCACAATGGATATTGACCTATATGAGGTTGTTTGTCAGAGCATTGTTCAATGACGTCAACTTGTGTAAAAGAGGTTGGATTAAATCCCCCTATGATTGATCATCCAGTGATTGAGACAAAATAATGATTGTATATTTCTCGAATCATAGATTTTAAAATTTAATTGACATCCTCCTAGGATGATAGACCTACCCGCTGACTACGGTCCTTCCAACCTCCTTCGCTGACTATGATCCTTCCAACCTCTGTCACAAAACAACGATATTTCCGACCTTAGTTGCCTGCCGACTACGATTTTTTTGACCTCTGCCGTCAGACAATGATCTTTCCAGCCTCCGTCTCCCGCCAACTATGGTCCTTCTAACCTCTATCGTCTAGTGACTATGATCCTGACGACTAAACATGTATTTTAATACTGATTCTTCCGATTCCCGCCATGTAATGCACTCTATATGATATACATTTTTTACATCGACCTAAGTCCTTCCCCTCAAGGATCATTTGTAATCGATTGTAAGTACTAGTAATTTCATTCAGATTGGGCCATAACCTGTGGTTTTTTCTCATTTTCAGATATTTCCACGTAAAATCTCTGATGCCTTTTATGAACGCAAAACCTTCTCTTTTATCTGATTGTGTGCTGGATCTTCGTACAAAACTAAGACATTAAACTTTACATTTCTCTACCGCCGAAATATTCCAGGACGCAACAAGATTTAAATGGGAATTTGATTCTTAATATAGTATAATTAAAAAAAAAATTCATGTAATTGATTTCATGTAGTGAAATAAAGATTTGGAATTTTCAAAAAAAAAAAAAAATGGTGATGTAAATATTACGAAAAAAAATATAAAATAATTTCATTTTTTTTCGCCCTTTAAAATTTCAGGATTCACCTAGGAGTTTTGGAATATTTTCCTCGTATCATATAGGATATTTTCGTAAATAAGATTTGGCACAGGTTGTTCTAGCTTCTCTCACAACAAAACCAGCACACAGACAAGAGCATCTTTACTTCTCAGGCACAGTTCACCAGACCTCCGCGACACTACAATTTCTCCACGCACAGCACGGACCAAGAAAACAACCTCCGCGATGTCCGCCTTCCCGAATTCGCCGCTCCGAAGTTCGAACCCTCGATTTCTCGATTTCCTTACCAACTATTACATTTAATCGAAGGTATTGTTCAATCAACAGGTAATGCCGCAATCGTTTACATCACTCCTTCAGTTCCGGCTTTCTTCTAGTATCATTTTTCCAATTCTACTCTCGCTGCCAGTTTTTCTGTAACTGAAGTCCTAGGGTTTTGAGAGATATTCTATTTATCTTGAATTGATGAGCTAATATTTGCGTTTGTGCATACAGTAATGTATCGAACTCTATTTTCCTTTTTTTTTTTAATTAGAAACCTACCTCCTGCTCCGCTGATTTATGATTATTCTTATTGTATATACTTCCACTGAAGATTTTCGTATTGATTGGCTCGGTTGTGTGGAAGATGGATATTGCTTGTAGCTTTTGGCGCTCCGGCATCTCCAATTACCGTGTTTATTCATGTTTTAGCACAAGGAATACAAAATATAGGTCTAGTGCTGGGGATTGTAGTGTTGCTGGAGACGCTAGGTTTATCTGTCGATTACGGTCAACAAAGAGGGGAAACAATCATGTAATTCCTATCCAGTGCTCCGTGCATTGTTCAGGTTGTGGAGCACTTTTTTCTCATTTGAATGGGAGCCGGAGTCCTCTGGTTGGCAGTTCATGCAATTGCAGAAAACTTTGGAGGGAAACTGTGTGGTTGCAGTGTCAGAGAAATGACTCTTTGGCATATATTGACGGGGACGGTCAGGATCTTGACGTTACCGAAAGCCCTATGACGTCAAAACCCGATTCTTTGGCTGAGAGCACGGAAGTAGCATCAAGTTCTGGTACAGAAACTAATGGTTCGGTGGACAATGTAAAAGGTGACTATCAGTTGGAGGATTTTAGGGAATCTCTTCAGAAGGCTATGAAGGAGCTTGAAGTTGCCAGGCTTAACAGTATCATGTTTGAGCAGAAGGCTCAGAGTACATCTGAATCTGCATTCGATTTAAAAGATAAAGCAGAAAATGCTTGGAGAGATGTTACTTCTGCTGTGACTATGATTCAGGAGATAATCAATGAAGAAACTATTGCAAAAGAAGCTGTCCAGAAGGCCACCATGGCCCTTTCAATGGCTGAGGCTAGGTTAAGACTGGAAATGGGATTATTGGATCCCACAGAGGAGATATCAGTCTTGGCGGAGTCTTCTGTGCAGAGTAACGTGGAGCAGGACCTTCTTTCTGCCCAGGAGGAGATTCAAGATTGTAAGGATTGCTTGAATAACTATGAAGCAGATTTGATGAGAATACGCACAAAAAAGGAGGAGCTGCAGAAGGAAGTAGACAGGTTGAGTGAAATTGCTGAGAAGGCTCAGTTGAATGCCTTGAAGGCAGAGGAGGATGTTACCAACATAATGTTCCTAGCAGAACAAGCTGTGGCTTTTGAATTGGAGGTGACTCAGCATGTGAATGATGCAGAGCTTGCTTTGCAGAAAGCGGAGAAGGTTGCTTTGACAGCTGATCTGCTGGAGCAACCTTCCCAAGAACAGCTAACTGAGGAAGTAAACCCTGATGCGGAGAAGACTAGTTCAGCTGTTGTTGATGGCTCAGCTGTTTTAAGAGACATTGGACTGTCAACTGCTAGTGATGTGGCTGAACTAAGTCTGGGAGAGACACACAGCTCAGGTTATCTGTCTGATCAGAAGAATGACATGCTGAATTCATTTATTGACAAAGAATATGAAGTCGATACAAAGGTTGCTTATCAAGGAAAGAAGCAGGAACTTCAATCAAAAGATCTAACTAAGGATTCACCTTTAAGTGTTCCAAAAGGATTGTTAAAAAAATCATCTCGCTTCTTTTCTGCATCGTTCTTCTCTTTCAATGTTGAAGGCAAAGAGTTCACTCCTGCAACAGCTTTCGAAAGGCTTGCTGCATTTGCTAAAAAGCATGTACCAAACCTTGTTCTTGGGACTCTGCTTCTTGGGTTGGGGTCAGTTCGATTAGTATTCAGCAATATTTTCCTGTCTTCATATTGTCGAGTGTTAGTTCAACATATATTTCCGACATAGTTATATCTTTTTCCTTTCATTTGTTTGGATTGGCAGGACTGTTCTACTGAGTAATCGAGCAGAAAAGAATTATCAGCTGCTTCAACAGCCAGAGTTAATAACTAGCATCGAAGAAGTAACCTCAACTGCAGAACCTATGGTTCGGGAGATACGAAGGTTCCCTGAAAGATTGAAAAAGATTATTGCGCTCTTGCCACAACAAGAGGTACGTAATTTTTATTTATTTTTTTATTTTTGTTCTTCTGATTGTAAATGTTTTTCCATTTTTGTTAATTAGTGAGAAGTGGTAGATGAAATTTTCTTTGGATTTTTTTTTCATTTTTTTATCTTTGGATATATTTCTGTTAATTACTGTTAAACCTTTAAGCAGTCCTTAGGTGTTCAAGTTTGGGTTGAAAATTATTGAATGACATGTTAAGGACAGTATGAAATGACTTTAGTATTTGTTCATTTCATGCTGATGCCTGTAAGAGCTATTTAGCTTCAAAATTATGCTAACGATAGCATTTCAATTAATGGACAAAAGTCCCTAACAATTAATCTTTATTTTGCTAGATAAAGGAGGAAGAAGCCTCCCTTTTTGATATGCTATGGCTCTTATTAGCCAGTGTCATATTTGTTCCTATATTCCAAAAGATTCCTGGTGGTAAGTGAATGCAATTGTTTTCTTATCTTTATTTTTTTTTAGCATGTAAATTTTTTAATCTTCTGAATTTTTAATGATTAATGTGTTTTCTTGATCAATTGTTTCTATGTTTCGATTTATAATCTGTGCTATATCTCGCCATCTTTTACATGGATTCCTATCAGATGTGCTTGTAGTAGTATAGGTACATGCAGTTGTGCCCAAATGGTTTTGAAAAAAAAAGGAAAAATGTATTTCAGGATTTCACATTTATTGGATTTTTATGGTTTGCCTGGCATAACTACTTGTATCTTTCTATTTTTTGAACCCAAGTTATAACTTTAAGAAATTAAACTATGATCCATGAAAGTATTTATTTCTTTGGCTTGTATGGGAAAAATCAACTGTTTGGAACGAGTAATTTCAGTTTTTCTCACTGTGGGAACATTTACTTCTTTCTATTGTTTTCTTTATTAATTCTTCATTGCTTATTTTAATTCTTGTAACTAGATGTTCGTTTTAATTACTTGAACCATTTAAGGTTAAATTGTTAATCGTTGTAAATAGGTTACTATGAGAAACAAATTGGGATTGTTTAGTAGAACCAAATTTTAGAATAAGATGGCTAGTTTCATTTAGAAGATTAACATAAAGTTGCAGGGGAGTATGGAAAAAGATCATACATTAGTAAGGAAATTTTGTGGTGGAGTGAGAAGTCACAAAATGTTTTTATTAAAGAAATATGCTTTAAAAAAGTGACATAAATATAAATTTTGTTGATCTTGATAAGAAAGGTAGAGGTCTACCTAAAAAGACTTGGTTAGAAAATATTAGAAATGATTTTTCTTTATTAGATTTAAATGATAATTTGACTTTTAACATGACACAATGACGAAAAAGGATTCATGTAGCGGACCTCATGTAGTGGGACAAAGACTTGATGTTGTTGATCTTGATAATGAATTTAAGTAAACCAAAAATCTTATTTAGAGAAAAGTGAGCAAGCAAAAGTTATAAATTTTGATATTTTTAATACTAAGAAAGGAGAAAATAAAATATGTAAAGAATTATAGAAAGAGGTCAGAAATCTAGAAATTTTGATGAAGTTAGGTGCAGTTGAAGTGAGTGATGGAATTTTGAACATTTTTAGCCAATTTCTTGAAAAGCTACTATCGTTTTTCATCATTGTCATTGCTTCAAACCAGTCGTAAAGCCTTTTATCTAATGAGATCTACAGCTTGAATTGTCACTAGTGGAAGGAGTTATATTACTAATTGAATGCTTTAATATTACCAAATGGTTAAGTGTGATGAAATCAATAGGCATGCCAAGGCGTTTGTTGTGTTAGGAGTGATACAGAATTACAGACAAGTTGCTCTCCATGTATATCATTAGTTGTTATAGGTCCAATGGAAGTTAACAACTAGAGGATGTGCATCAGCTACTGACTGTCAAAAAAATCACCGTTAAGAACAATTATCCTCTTCTCAAAATTTGGACTTAATTGATTATTGAGAAATTTTGACCCTTGATCAATTTATTATTATAAACTTAGATGTTCTACTAATATACTATTAAACCGTGGAAGAGCACTTGTAGACTATTAACTTATATTAGTCCTCAAAAAGTGTAAGATTAATAGACTTAACACTAATATATTAGGGTATGTGGTCAAAGGGGAAGTGCTGAAAATAGACCCTAGCAAGGTAAAGTCAAATAACATATTTAAAGGATCTGTATGGGTGCTTGCAAATATGTGAGGGAAGCCATTTCTCTTTCATTACTTCTCAGTATTGATTTTCATTTTTCATGGTTGCTCCAGGGGTAGACAACAATTTACTTGGGTTAAGGGGAGCATGAGGATAACACTTTTCACTAAAACACCAATTACTTCTCAGTATTGTTTTGGGAAGCTTGCAAAAACTACCCAATAGATAATAAAGAATTGTTTGCACCGCATCAAGCAATGAAGCATAGGAGGCATTATGTGCCAGAAAAGGAGGTAGACTGCTACATATCAATAACCACTGCAGTACTTGCAAACTCGATCCAAGCTATAATAGGCTAGACATATGAAGTTGATGTGTTATATTGCTATTTATAATTATTCAATATAGTGATCAAGTATGAGAAGGGTGCTTAAAACAAAAGCAGGCATACTAATGCGGTCACTTACATATATACAACTAATCTGCTTATTTTGCATCTTTGTATATCTTGCCATTATATTATAAGGAGTTATAATCTATTGATCTTGAATTCCAAAAGAAGGCTTTCACCATGAAAGTTAGTCTAGTCTACCATATCATTAATTGGTATCCTAATCCTACAACTTGTCAATAAATTCACTTGGATTTAGGGGTGTATGTGAGCCGAGCTGGCTCAAACTCAACTCAATTATGAGCTCGCAAACCAAATTTGTCGAGGTGCAAGCTCAAGTTCATGTTTAAACTTGAGCGCTTATATTAAATGAGTTCGAGTTCGAATTTGATAAGGCTCAGCTCATGAGTTGGCTTGTATATCTAGTGGTTTATTCGGGAATTCTAAAATTGTTGGTTAATGAGGTAGCTACTGGGTTCCTTTTTTTTTTGGGAAAAGCTGCTAGGGCCTTTCCATTAATAGGACAGAACAATAAAATGGTTGTAGGAAAAAAAATATTAGTTTTGCAAAATTAAAATAAGTAGGTTGTAGGTTTCCTGATTAAGAAGGGCGTAGGCACCTCAATCCTTGTCTTTAATGGTGATCACGTCGACGCCTCCTTCTCAGAGCCATTGCATTTTACCTCAACCTCACGAGCTGACTCACAAGCTTGTTTATATTGCCATTAGTAGAGCTTGAGATTGGCTGATGAGCCGAGCTCGAGTGGGCTTAAAAAATTTGTTCTTGGCTTTTCTGGGAGATTTTGTGTTCAAAGTATAATTTTAAGAAGATAGATTTGATTGCAGATAAAACACAATATAAGGATTTTACCCTAATTTTGTGAGAACTTTATGGTTTGGTTCTAAATTTTTCATTAGGCGCAAGCTTTTATTATTGATTATTCCTTGCAGTGATGAGAGAATTTTTTATTAAGACTATCTGATAGGTGCTAAATACTTAGCTTAAAGTAGTTGCGATTTAAATTTATGATAAGGAAAAATCCACTATTATTGTCTTAAAGTGGATGTTGGGTGGAATGATAATAAATATGATCTAAATCTCATGATTTTGTCATCTTGGCTCATGCTAGATCTGGATCTGCTTAGCTAGTGTAGGTTGTTGCACACTTGATCAAAATATTTATGTTGGTAGTAAGAAATTGCAGGAGGCCTTGTCGACTTGAGGTAGATGTTTGTATAGGGGGCATTTTTAAATCAATTTTAGCTAACAATGAGCTTTGTAACCTATCACGTACACCCTTATAGACTGTATAATTTAAAGTTTTCTAAGTTGTGAATTATAGGGATAATTCATAACTTAAGACTCAAGAGTGATCGAACCATGAGGGGATATCTGGTTTTGACTTTGACCATAATTTAATGGTGGTATTTTAAAAGTGAAACTATATGGTCAGAGAGCTATAGGCATAACCATTTTCTACTATTTCGTAGCAAAATCACCTGATTAGAGGATACATGTCACGTACTTTTTGGCTTGAAATCATTTGAGAGTGATTATATTGATATTCTTGATATAATATTTAATCTTCGTAAGCTAAGGTTGATCTTAAATTTATAATACTTGATAAACTATTATGAAGAGTGGATATATTGGTTACTCTTTAGAATAAAGCAGTTTGATTTTTTTTTTTTTCAAAATTTTATATATTGTTTATGCTAATTTGGCTCCCAAATGATTTTCTTTGAAATTTGGGGGCATTTTGATAAAAAGGTTTCCTCTAGTTGAGATTTTCTATCCACATAACCATTATTGGGGTAAGATGTTAGAAGCATTTGCATTTGAATTTAATATCTTGTTTTTATGGTAAACCTCCTCGGCTATGATTTGTAGTAGCTATGCCCATGATAGTAGTAATCTCGTTGATTCCAATATTGTGAGGAGAATTAGACTTTAAAGTGAGATATAAGACTCTACCCTATAGGCAAACTGGTTTGCTTGAGAGTATGCATATATGCCAATGAATTTAATCTTGAAAGAGAGAGTTTATGAAGTTTCAAAGTCATTATATGCTTTTTGGAGCTGTTACACACTTCTTGAGGTGGGAAATTTTGATTTCATTTTATTTTTAGTCCACAAAGCATTATATGGTTTTTAAGTTGAAGCGCTTAGCATGCTTGTTGGAGCACATGCAGATTTTTTGATTTTGGGCAATCTAATATATTTTTTTAATGGTCCGCACGTGACTTATATGCTTTTTAGTATATTTACGTGATGTATTTGTATATTTTTTATGCCCTTGTACAGTTGTTAGTGCACTTGAATGATGCATTTTCTTGCTTCTCAGTGAACTTGTAAAATGTTTTTGCATAGTGCACTTACTTGTAAAATGTTTTTGCATAGTGCACTTAGATGATGCATCTCCACATCACACTTGCTCGCTTTTCAAGGCAGCGAATTTGGGTTGAAGGCTGTCTTGCAATGTTCTTAGGGCTTAAAATTATTTGGATTTTGAAATGTTTCCATGAATATCATGTCATTTAGATCTACTCAAAGTTTTATTAAACTTTAATGATTGCCTTTTGTCTGCTTGCATGTATGTGTTGCAGATTCGATGTTGAATGTGGTGAGCTCCATGGGGAATAATTTCTCCTCCTATAAATAGGAGTTATTTGCATTATTTTTTCCCTTTCTATTTCTTTATTAATAAATTATAGGATGAGTTCTTGTGTGTTCTAAGGGTCTATTTGGTGGGGCTGTAGTTTTTTTTAAAGATAGTTGTGAAGTTATTGCAATTTTTTTTTTGAAAACTAATATGGGTATTATAAATATATTCTTTAAAAAAAAAATTCAGTCAACAACCTTTTTATAGCCACTGTACATTAGTATATCGGATTGTAAAAACAATTTTATAATAAAAAAAT